CTCAATCACTGAGCTCAAGAAAACACATCAGTCACATAGCAGGCTCCTGAACATCTGCATCCTTATCCTGAAACCGGACCTTACTATGTACAATCGTGAAGTGTGCTGCTGGGGAAGCTTTATAACTCACATTCTGCAGAATTCTTAAGTCTGAATATTACTGATAGCAAAATTCTCTTCATTAAACTGAGGCGTTGGTATATTGTTGTTGTTGTTGTTAGGTGCCATCAAGTCAGTTCCAACTCATAGTGACCCTATGTACAACAGAATGAAACACTGCCCAGTCCTGCGCCATCCTCACAGTCGTTGTTATACTTGAGCCCATTGTTGCAGCCACTGTGTCAATCCATCTCATCGAGGGTCTTTCTCTTTTTCACTGACCCTCTACTTTACCAAGCATGACGTCCTTCTCCAGGAACTGATCCCTCCTGACAACACTGGTACTATATATTTTAAAAATATATATATTGGTATATATATATTTTAAAAACAGGAAACCTGTCCAAATATGCAAGCTTGCTTCATAAGTCAGAGGTAGGGGAGCAAAAACAAATTTGGAAATGGGAAAGTAATGAAGACCTGGATGTGAATATAATTCCAGCAAGGAACCATTTATGGGGAACTGTCAGGTAGATCAAACTGTAAATTTAGAAACAGTTTAAAAACACAAAATGTAGTATAAGTAAAGGTGCTTTGAGATATGGTTAATGTGTGCTAGTGAAAGCAGGTGTCTTGGTGTAAATATTATCTTGCTCTGGAGACATTTGAAATGTTGCATTTGTGTTCTAATATGCTCTAACCTCTAAGAAGGACATTGGTGGGTCAGTGGTAGAATTGTCACCTTCCATGCAGGAGACATGGGTTCAGTTCCTGGCCAATGCACTAGAAAAAAAGGCCTGGTGATTTACTTCTGAAAAACAGCCAATGAAAACGCGTGGATCACAATAGTCTCATCTGTAACTGTTCGTGAGGATGGTGAAGGACCTGACAGCATTTCATTTCATAGTGCGTGAGGTCGCCATGAGTTGGGGGCCGACTCAGCAGCAGTTAACAACAACAACAACTTGACCGCTAAGTGAGATAAATGGAGACCAGATATAATCATAGGCCCAAAATCTTCATGGTGGCAATGACCTTAGGCATTGTCAAGCCCAACTCTTCATCCAATGTAGGAATCTCTCATAACACCCTCAACCAACCTCTAAATAGGAGAGAGGAGGAAGAAAAATTCTAAAGACCATGCTGTGACCTCACAAAGCCCAGCCATGTGGGACCAACAAGGAAATCTGTGGAATAAATACATGGATCATGTGCCTGTCGAGTTCCTTGCCATAATGGAATGCCACATGGAATATACTTAACTCCAGGAAGCCACCCAGCATTGATCCTGCCTGGTGTAGCCTTGTTTTTTTTTACCATTAGTCAGACTTTCTTTGTGTAGCAATTCCCCCTCATATTTGTATATTTAAATGTCTGTAATTATGCATTTGTTTTATGTGACTATTGTCCCAATTTCCAGTTAAATGCTAAGCACTAAGGGAAGAGAAATGGTATTCCCTTTTCTTCTGTTAACTGTCCCCTCTGCTTTTCGGAATGTTTTTGTTAGGTGCCATCGAGTTGGTTCCGGCTCATAGCAACCCCATGTACAACAGAATGAAACAGTCAATGGTCCTGCGCCATCCTCACAATCATTATTATGTTTGAGCCCCTTGCTGCAGATACGGTGTCAATCTATCTCATTGAGGGGCTTCCTCTTTTTCACTGATCCTCTTCTTTACCAAGCATTACATCCTTTTCCAGTGACTGGTCCCTCCTCATAACATGTCCAAAGTACACGAGATAAAGTCTTGCCATCTTTGTTTCTAAGGAGCATTCTGGCTGTACTTCTTCCAAGACAGATTTGTTTGTTCTTTTGGCAGTCCATGGTATATATTCAATATTCATTGCCAACACCATAATTCAAATGCATCAATTCTTTTTCAGTTTTCCTTATTCATTATCTAGCTTTTTGCATGGATGTGAGGTGACTGAAAATACCATGGCTTGGGTCATGCTCACCTTAGTCCTCAAAGTGACATCTTTGCTTTTTAATACTTTAAAGAAGTCTTTTGCTGCAGATTTGCCCAACGCAATACATTGTTTGGTTTCTTTACTGCTGCTTCCATGGTCATTGATTATGGATCCAAGTAAAATGAAATCCTTGACAACTTCCATCTTTTATCTGCTTATTATCATGTTGCTTATTGGTCCAGTTGTGAGGTTTTGTTTTCTTTATGTTGAGGTGTAATCCATACTGAAGGCTGTAGTCTTTGATCTTCACCAGTAAGTGCTTCAAGTCCTTTTCACTTTCAGCAAGCAAGGTTGTGTCATCTGCAATCTTGATGCCCCATTCTTCTTCATATAGTCCAGCTTCTTGGATTATTTGCTTAGCATACAGATTAAATAAGTATGGTGAAAGGATTCAACCCTAATGCACACCTTTCTTGATTTTAATCCAAATAATTGCTAGAAATAAATACTATTGACTTGCCTTTGAATTCTGTTTATGGTTTGTTCTGATATGCAGAAATTTTAAATTTTTATGCAGATGCATCTATTGATTTTTTTCAATTCCTATGATTTCTTCCATTACTTTTACACTTAGACATTATTTTTCCTTTCAGAGATTAAATTAACTATTCATCCATAGTTTGTTCTGCTCTGATTCATCCATTCATTTACTCACTCATTCATTCTCTCCCTCTTCCACCTTCTTTTGCATCCACCCCTCTTCCCCATTATAATTTCTAATGCATTTACTAAATTTGCTAAAGCCCCACTCTGTGCCAAGCATTGCACTAAGCACTTTGCATCTCATTTAATCTACCTACCAACTCTTCAGGTTGATACTATTATTGTTTCTTGTAATGATTAATACTTGCGCAAGGTCATAAAGTAATTGAGCAGAAGTTTTCCAAAACAAGCCGGTGCTCCTAACCATTATGCTATCCTTAAGTTTTTTTTTTTTTTCAGAGGAGGGCTTGAGTGTTTTAAATATATTGCAACCTTGGCTGATAGCTCAGTTTTTTTTAATATTAAAATATTTGTTTCTACATATCACAACATATAGTGTAGCCCTGAGGATTCCATTAGGCAGAACACATAGAGCACAGAAAATGGTTTTAGGCACAGAACAAATGTAACTGCTTTTCTTCACAAGATTGAGAGAAACTTGGGATCCTTCCTTTACGTAGCTGCGTTCTTTCCCTTTCATCCAGTCCACAAGCCTCATTTCCTTTCCTCAAGCAGAGTATACACATAGGGGCCTTAAAGATATACCAAGTAAACAAATTGTTGGGTGATAGTGTTTTAAAAGTTATTTTGGACAAAAAGCTTCCTATGTTATCTTCACAACGCTAGAAACAAAGATTCTTCAGCTAAGGTCAACAGCTTTGGTGACGGTTCACTCAGTAGCAATTCGTTGCACTGTTTCTTGTTTTTGCTGACATGGTGTTAGTGCTGCAATGGAACTAGATTTTCTCCAAAATCCATGACTGGGAGAACTGGATACATTGTCCTATTTCAGGTCTTGGCATAGTCCCACTACAGGGCATGAGTCTGTCTTGATGTATTAAAAAAATGTTGTCCTAAGCCAAATTTGGAAACTGCCACTAGCTGGTTTGAGTGTGTGTGAGCTAGGGGGGAGGAGGAGGAATATAACCTGGCATGGAGATTGGTACAACAGCTGGGACACATAATGAATCACTTGATGAGGGCAAGGTAAGCTGTGTTTGTGGCAGATCTGGAGACCATAGTGGCAAGGGTGGGACAGATGGCAACCTCTGAATCCGAGGAGTCTAATGAATGTTGAGAAAAGAATGAGGCACTGATAGTTTGTCAGCAGAGTGCTCAAACCTCAAACCACCTGGAGACTCCTACTGTATCTTTGCAGTTCGATAGATAGTAAACGGATCACATTTTAAATCCCTGCAGTTTTAAGACGAAGTTAACTAAGACCAGCATTCAGCCTAGAAGAGGCAGTGGAAATTAGGAACGTCCATTCTTGGTCACAGTTCCTATGTTTACACAAAAGGAGTCCCTGGATGGCACAAATGGTTAAGCGCTCGGCTACTAACCAAAAAGCTGGTGGTTCAGATTCACCCAGAGGTGCCTTCAAAGAAAGGCCTGGTGATCTACTTCTGAAAGATCATAGCCATTGAAAACGCTAGGGAGTGCAGTTCTCCTCTGAAGCACATGGGGTTGCCATGAGTTGGAGTGTACTGGTTACGTGTACACAACCACACACTCCAATCCTTGTCCCAGTACATATGGAGTAGCATAACATCTTTTTCACTTTCTAAAACAAAAAATACTTAAATTGCAATGTGAATGTATGCAACACAGCATTTTAGGGGAGACACAAGAAATTGGAAAGCAATTAGACATTATGAGCTGAACTACTGACAGATTACAAATTGGCCATTTTAATAAACTAACTTTTGAGTTGCGTTTTCTTTTTCTTCTTAACTAAATTTCAGTGACGGGGTTGCTGTGAATCGGAATCGAATCAACAGCAATGAGTTTGTTTGTTTTGTTTTGGTCCATTGCAACTATGTGCTTGTCTCTTTGAAGAGAAACTAAGAAGCACCCTAATCATGGACTATTGTTTCTCCTTCCCTACCCCAAACATCAAAACATTTTTCTTAAATGATATGTTAGCTAGCTCTTTTGGTAATTTCTTTTTATGATATCTTAGCTCTAGCAGAATCCCTATACAGAAATCAAAATTACTAGTTGGGACTGCGTGTTTGCTTTGCTAGAAGAATTTAATTACACTTTTTCACCAGGTTGTAAGATGAAGATGTGACTTTTTAATGAACATGTGCCTTTTAATGAGTTTGGATTCAGGATTAGGCTGGGATTCAGGGATTCCTAAAGTACAGATGCCCATGAGCAAAATTACTGAGCTCCATTCAGAAGAAACCAAAATACGTTTGTTTGTTTTTTTCCCCATGCCTAACAGTGATTATCAACCCTAACAAAGCTATCTGGAGCTTTTTAAAACTCCAATCAATCATTATCTCCCTTTCGTCTAAGGAAAACTAATGAGAAGGAAATGAGAAATGAAAAGATTGTTACAATAGGTAAGTCAACTTGTTTTATAGTAAGATACTTAAAATAACCAAACAAGATATTGCATGCATATGTTTTTGTTCCCTTGCATTGCTAAGAGGGAAAAAAATAAAAATGTCTATGATGGATAATTATCAAGAAGGAAAATCAGGTAAAACAATAAAGGTTTTTTTCTTCTTAAATAGTAGCCCCATTCTCTCCAAATTTAAAAAAAAAAAAACTCAGCTCTGACAGTAAATTTATCATTAGTACCTCTCTCTCTATTGGATTCCATTTCTTTCCACAGATCTTAATCTATCCTCTGCCCTCCAACTAAGAGGATTTCACAAATACAGACTTTAACTCTATATTTTTTCCCTTCTTTCTCTTCTTCATGGTCATGATTCCAACTCTTTCCTCTATGTCAATGACTTCCAAATTGGATATTCAGTCTTATTTCCTCATTCACTATTCAGCCCCAAATCTGTGACTCCTGTACCATTTTCCTTGGCTGTCTCTCTATCACCACAAACTCAGTATGTCTCAATTTCCTGATTAGATAACTTCCAAACCAGCACCGTGTTGTTGTTGTTGTTAGGTGCTGCTGAGTTGGTTCCTACTCATAGCAACCCTAGGTACAACAGAACTGAACTCTGCCCGGTACTGCGCCGTCCTCATGATCGTTGTTAGCTTGAGCCCACTGTTACGCCCACTGTGTCATTCCATCTTGTTGAGGGTCTTCCTATTTTTCGCTGAACCTCTATTCTACCAAGCATGATGTCCTTCTCCAGGGACTGATCCCTCCTGATAATATGTCCAAAATATGTGAGACGTAGTCTTGCCATTCTTGCTTCTAAGGAGCATTCTGGTTGTACTTCTTCCAAGACAGATTTGGTCATTCTTTCGGCAGTCCATGGTATATTCAATATTCTTCGCCAACACCACAATTCAAAGACGTCAGTTCTTCTTCATTCTTCCTTATTCATTGTCCAGCTTTCACATGCGTATAAGACGATTGAAAACACCATGGCTTGGGTCAGGAGCACCTTAGTCTTCAAGGTGACATCTTTGCTTTTCAGTACTTTAAAGAGGTCTTTTGCAGCAGATTTGCCCAATGCAATGTGTCTTCTGATTTCTTGACTGCTACTTCCATGAGTGTTGATTATGGATCCAAGTAAAATGAAATCCTTGACAACTTCAATCTTTTCTCCATTTATCATGATGTTTATTGGTCCAGTTGTGAGGATTTTTGTTTATGTTGAGGTGTAGTCCATATTGAAGTCTATGGTCTTTGATCTTCATCAGTAAGTGCTTCAAGTCCTCTTCACTTTCAGCAAGCAAGGTTGTGTCATCTGCATATCACAGGTTATTAATGAGTCTTCCTCCAATCCAGAAGCCGCGTTCTTCATACAGTCAGCTTCTCGGATTATTTGTTCAGCATAAAGGTTGAATAAGTATGGTGAAAAGATACAACCCTGATGGACACCTTTCATGACTTTAAACCACGCAGTATCCCCTTCTTCTGTTCGAACAACTACCTCTTGATCTATGTACAGGTTCCTCATGAGCACAATTAAGCGTTCTGGAATTCCCATTCTTCGCAATGTTATCCATAATTTGTTATGATCCACACAGTCGAATGCCTTTGCATAGTCAATGAAACACAGCGAGCTCCCTGATTATTCTGGCTTTCCATGGCATCTCCATTTTCGAAATCATTCAGCTTAGAACAATATATTTTATTGCGCTATTTTTTTCCACATAGGTTAGAAATTATCAGCGTTGGAAAGTGCCCTTGAAGATCTCTAAATCTAATCTGCTACAAATTTGGGATTCTCCTTCAGGATGTTCCTGATAGATGTTACAGTGATTGACTTTATTTAACTACTTTCAGGTATTAAAGGATAATTTTTTATTGTGGATAGACAGATAGAAAGAGAGATAGAGAGCTAGAGAAATACATGTGTGTTTGAGTGTGTATGTATGTGTACATATGTGCATACATACATCATAAAATTTGCCATTTTAACATTTTAGGTGTTCAATTCAGTGGCATTAATTACATTCACAATGTTGCACAACCATCACCACTGTCTATTTCCAAATTTTTCCATCACTTCATTAGCGTCTGGGGTCTTAAAAGCCTGCAAGTGGCCATCTAAGATACATCTCTTGGTCCCATCCTACCCGGAACAAAGGAGAATTAAGAAAACCAAAGACACAAGGAAAACACTAGCCCAAAGGACTAGACCAGCCTGAGACCAGAAGAACTAGATGGTCCCCAGCTACCACCAGCTACTGCCCTGACAGGGTTCACAGCAGAAAGTCCTGGATAGAGCAGGAGGAAAATAGAACAGAACTCAAATTCATGTAAAAAGATCAGACTTACTGGTCTGACAGAAACCAGAGGAACTCCCAAAGATATGGCCCCCAGACACTGTACTAACCCAGAGCTAAAACCATTCCTGAAGCCCACTTTTCAGACAAAAGTTAGACAGGCCTATAAAACAAAAAATAACACGTGAGGAATGTACTTCTTAGCTCAATCAAATATACGAGACCAAGCGGGCAGCTCCTGTCCAAAAACAGGACGAGAAGGCAGGAAGGGACAGAAACTGGATGAAGGGACACAGGGAACCTGGGGTGGAAAAGAAGAGCATTCTGTCACATTATGGGGATTACAACAAATGTCACAAAACAATATGTATATAAATTTTTTTTTTGAATTTTTTTTTTGAATGAGAAACTAACTTCAGCTGTAAGCTTTCACCTAAAGCACAATAAAAAATAAAATAAATTCTTCATCACCCCAAACAGAAACTCTGTACCCACTAAGCAATAACGCCCCATTTCCTCATCCCCTCAGCCCCTGGTAACCTCTAATCTACTTTCTGTTTCTATGAATTTGGCTATTCTAGGTATTTCATATAAATAGAATCATATAATATTTGTCCTTTTATGTCTGGCATATTACTTAGCATAATGTTTTCAAGGTTCATCCATGTTGTAACATATATCAGAACTTCATTCCTTTTTATGTATTATATTCCTTGGTATGTATATACCACATTTGGTTCATCCATTTATCTGTTGATAAACAGTTGAGTTTTTTCCACATTTTGGCTATTGTGAATAATGCTGCTATGAACATTCACTTACAAGTATCTATATGAGTCCCTGTTTTTAATCATTTTGGGTATGTGTGTATATATATATATATATGGGTCAAATTACTGGGTTTTATGGTAATTCTATATGTAACTTTCTGAGGACACATCCAGCTGTTTTTCACAACAAATGCACCATTTTACATTCCCAACAGCAAAGTACAAGTGCTCCAATTTCTTAACATCCTCACCAACATTAGTTATTTTCCATTTTTTTAAAATACAGTGCATTTTTTTGAAAGGGTAGAATCGTGACTTTCAGACAACTAAAAAAGGAACACACATGCCAAGATTTTACTGAACTCCATAATTAATGAGAGAAGCAATAAGATATTACAACTAGTTCAGAGAAAATTTAAAGAACCACACGTTTAGAGTTTAGAAAAAGAATGCTGAGAACAATTTACATATAGATGCAAAAGAGTCACAGTGCAATAATCAACTAGACACAACTAATTTGCATTTCTATAAACAAGAATATATTGTATTGTTTTCAATTTCCTATGATTTACAGAAGGTACCTTGGTGGCGCAGTGGTTAAGTGCTCGGCTGCTAACCAAAAGGTCTGCTGTTCTAAGCCACCAGCCACTCTGTGTGAGAAAGATGAGGCAGTCTGCTTCAGTAAAGATTTACAGCCTTGGAAACCCTATGGGGGCAGTTCCACTCTGTCTTACAGGGTCACGATGGGTAAGAATCCACTCAGTGGCAGCGGGTTGTGATTTACAGAATTATAAAGTTACCCAAAGATAATGAAAGGTGGAGATGACCTCAAAGTGTACTCTTTGATGACACTCAAGTCTATTGAAAAGTTTTTCACAATTTTACTCTACACAGGTGAGAACAGTGTCTGTAATAGGCCATTTTTTGTTTTGGCATCATACTGGTATACAGTTTTTCCTTACACAGAAGCAAAATTTTCTTTCCTATACCACCCCAGTTTGTTTTTCATGATACCTCTTCAGGAAGTTAAAAATATGATGGTACTCTGAGAAATCCTTAGCACTAATTTGTCCCAGGTGGTCTTCTTTTTACTTTGCTAATCCTAATCAGTTCTTTTAGTTGTTCTTTATTTAAGACACTTTCCAAACATCTCTAAAGGGGCCCTGTGGCTCAGTGGTTAAGCACTCAGCTGCTAACCAAAAGGTCAGCAGTTAGAACCCACTAGCTGCTCCATGGAAGAAAGATGTGACATTCTGCTTCCGTAAAGACTATAGTCTTGGAAACCCTGTGGGACAGTTGTACTCTGTCCTATAGGGTCAACAGCATGGGGTTGAACATCTGATTACTCTCCCCTTGACAAGCTCTCGTGGTCTCGTGGTTCCTCTCTAACTATGGTGCCCATTTCTAAGCACATTGCCACAGTGCCTCTGAGCAGAGCAATATTCAATGGGATGATGGGGTACTGACTTTCCTTAATTGGATGCTACTTCTATTTATGTAGCTTAAAATTTTTGACTTGATTTTGAGAGGAGATTGGAGGCCATTTTTCTTTATAAGGGTAGACTTACTGATACACTAGTCCAAACACATTTGTGTAGTTCCCTTTTCCACAAAGCAGTAGGTGCATCGTATCTAGTGTGCATTGAAGACAGTAATAACTTATGGGAATTATATATTAGTGGAACTTGAAAGACCCTGCAGACCATAAAATTTAAGGTTATTCTGAATTTATGAGTAGCCATTTTACCCAACTTGAATATATAAACCAAAAAAAACCCTGTTGCTGTCAAGTTGATTCTGACTCATAGCAACCCTATCAGACAGAGTAGAACTGTCCCATAGGGTTTCCAAGGAGTGGCTGGTGGATTTGAACTGCTGACCTCTTGGTTAGCAGCCAAGCTCTTAACTACTGTGCCATCGGGGCTACTCATATAAAATCCCTGAACTTTTTATTTTTTTTCTTCTCTCCCTTCCTTTCTTCTTTTCTTCCTTGTATTTTTTTTCCCTTTCCTTCTTAATATGAAATAATTGTTTGCCAACAGAATGAGCTTCATGGGCTTGCAGTCTCACTGGGCCCCACACTTAGAAGGGCCCCACACTTAGTTTAATGCTCTGCAATTACTGTCTTGAAATTATTAATACTTTTAAACAAGGGACCCTGCCTTTTCATATTGCACTGGGCCCCAAAATTATGTATCCTGACCCACTTGCCAAATCAAGCCTGTGTCATCTCATTCAGAAACAATTGATTTCTTGATATCCATTCCTTTCCTTCCCCTACTGAAAACATTTTAGAATAGAGCATCATTTTGAACTAGGGTAAGTGAGTTACCAGCCATCTGTCTTTTCTACATGACCCCAGTCATCCCCCCTCTAATTTATCTGCCATTGGGACCAGTCTAATCCTTTAATATACCTTTTTGATCACATCACTTCTTTACTTAAAAAAATCTCAATGACATCAAGTCTAAATTCTGCCTAATCTAATTTTTTTCCCACTCTCTGAGTAATCCCTTCTTAATTATTACTGCTCCTTAAAATTTTATTTTTAATCCATGTAGCATTGTCACTTCAGTAGATCATGAATATGCTATAAAAATATCATAATTGCAGCATCTCTGGGAAATCAGTTCATTAATTCATTCCTTCATTCATTTAACAAATATTTACTAAATACCCATTATATAACAAGCACTGTTCTAGTAATGACTGTGCAATGGTGAACACAACATACTGGCCCTATCATCATGTCATTTACTGTTTAGAGGCGGAGATTGATATCTAGTAACTAATCACTGGTTAAAACTATCATTAAAGGAAAGAATTAGGAACTATGGGAGAGAGTTAAAGAGGGTGTAATTTACCTTCTATCCTATGACTATACAAACGCTATCCATACTTTACAACCCAGGTAAACAGCTACTTCTTCCATATAGCTTCTTATTAATCATCTCCCTTTCTTGCAGTATTTATAGGCTACTCATCCAATTCAACCATTTTCCATTAATATTTTATTTCTTGCTTCCCCAATTAGATTGTGGTCTAGACTATTCCTCATGATTTTTCTGTCCTTCAAGACTCATCTCAGGTATTAGCTTCTTTGGAACCCTTCCCTTGCCCTTTCCTTCCAATCTAAGTAATATCTATGTCTATATGTCTATATCTATATATCTACCATCTGCATCTATCCATTGGGCTGCAAACACTGTATCCATGATTCTAACTGATCACACAGTTGTATTATAATCATCTAATGCATCCTGTTTATCTGTGCCAGTAAGCATTGGTTTCCATAGCTTCCAAATGGATGAAAAATAATTAGTTCTATTATGTCTTCCATGTTTCTGAATTTTAATTTTTTAGGACTATTCCAAGTCAAGATTGCAGAATCCTGATGTTTAGGGGTCTTGTATTAATTACAAATACTATGATATACAAACAAAAAAAAAGAATATTCATGTAAGCGGAATGCTCCGTTCTTGTCTAGGTATGTGACAGTAGTGCCTAGAGATAGGGTAGATTTCAATAAAAATTATTGCATAATACATTTTTATTGTTTCTTTTATTACCAGCTAATGGCTTTAGAGTTTCTCTGCTATTGGTTGGGTTTAGGATCACAGTTCCTTGTGAAGATATGGAAAGTAGAAACACTCTGAATGTGATATTTACAAGGTAAGAATTCAGTGCCTTATTTAAGGCTTGGGACACTTAGGGTTTCAAAACTGCCCTATCTGGAATGGTGTTTTATACCATGGAATATCATGGAAGGAAGTGGCAAAGCCCTTGTGCTTAATTAGCATCACAATCTTTCTCTCTCCCCTTTGGTTTAAAGGTTGCCATGATAATAGGAAGATGGCAGATCAGGGACAAATTATTGGGACAGTAAACATTTGTTTCTTAGACTTCCTCACAATTATCCATCACCCATAGCATTCTAGATGCACATGATCAATAAATATGTCTACTGGGATGGAGGTGTATAGAGAGGGTTCTGAGTTCACGTAAAATTCAATGGATGTTCAATAAATAATTTTTATTTTCTTGGTCAGCAATTATCTACAAGAAATTTATTTTGCATGTATCTTTACATCTGAAAAGAGAAAGAAAAATAATGTTGGTAGTTTTTTTGTTTGTTTTTTAATAAGAAAAATAACTCTCAACTAAGATATGATCTATGCCCTCAGTTGTTAAAATGCTGTCACAGAGAATGGTTCTTTGCCTTTGTACAGTTTGACTTCAAGAGAACAAAAACTAACATCGATGGATAGAAGGGAACAGAAAACTAAGTTTTAACAGTAAATGTACAAAACTAGATGTGCTGATTCAAAAAGTAATAAGTTCCCCGTACGTGGTGATTTTCCAGTATTGGTTATATGAACACTTAATTGGGTTAAATGAACACTTTTTGAGCAAGGAGTGGGTTACCTGTTTGCTGAGACTGAGATTCTCTCCCACCCTGATACTTAATGCTTCTGTAAAGTTTCACCAACTGGTGATGGCTGGAGACCCAGCTCCTCATTGCCATGAACACATCAAGCCCAGTGCTCCTCTGGATTATTCCTGTGCTACTTAACCTTAGACTTGAAGCAAAGTCAGGATAGGCTTGTCTTAGTGAAGATTATATTTAGAGTTTTAGAAGACTGTCTGGAATAGAGTAAGCACTCAGTACATGCTGGCTATTATTGCTGTTGTGATTTTTTGCTTGTTGTTATTTGTGGGGAAGGTGGCACTCCCCAAAGCTCTAACACTCTAGCTCCTCAGCCATCTCTGCTAATACCACTGAAAACTGTCAGTGTCCTATCCTTAAAATTGACATCTGGATGCAGGAATGAAATAGAATGATTCAAAGAAAGAGTGATTGGTTGGCATTAAAATAAAAATACCTCCCTTTTGTATTGCAATTCATGGTTTATGTTGTGTTCTCACAACCCTTACCTCATCTTTGTTACTCCTAGTAGCCCCGTGAGATGGGTCAGGAATTATCATCCTCATTTTTGACATGAGAAAACTAAGAGTCAGAGTAGTTCTGTGACATTCACATAAGGTCATTAGTAACCCATATCTTAAGATTTTAAACCATCTTTCCTTACATAATAAATCTAGGGCTTGTTATTTAACAGTCTATATAGCATATAGACAAGCCATGCTGTACCATCTTTACATGGAATAGATGCCTTAATTCCTCAGTGCAGAGGTAAAGTAGTCCTTGGTGGGTGATAGCTTCAGTCTTCTTGAAAACAAGGATATTTTGGTTGATAAGTGAATACCATTTGACTTCTGGTTAGTGAGAATAGGACTATAGCTTTTGCTTTGTGTTGTAAATAATAATGCTAAACCTGCCTTCTGGGAATTACTACTTTCATATAATGATGCTAAGACTTAATAGCTTATACCAATTAAAAAGTTACTTGAGTTCCAATGCCACACACATTAACAGTAGTTACTGTGCTGTCTTTCATTCCCATATTAAGGAAGAATTCAAAGGGTATTTTAACATCAGGAGAACCGTATTTTTATGAATGGATTTGCAAGCTAAATATATTTTCTCTTTAATTATAAACAGATTTTGCCACAATGCTAATACTTTAGACTCCACATTACCTATGTTGCTTTTCCTCTATGCTCTTTGTCAAGAGTCTCCAATAAGTTGAATAGTATCAAAGGGGAGATGTTGAATTGTAAAACTTTTCTTTGGGGTGGTTGTTTAAAACAGTTCTGGTCACACATTCTTTGAATTTCTTTCATCTCTCCACATCACTTCTAGGATCTCACTGCTGCTTCTAACACATATCCCCTTCACACTCATCCAAGGTGAGATGCTAGGGGTGGCAGTAGTGTAGAATGATTACGAGTATGGGTTTTGGAACTCTGGTTTCAACTTTCTGTTCATCAATTTAATCAACACATATTTTCTCTGCACCAGCAATGAGCCGGCAATGAGCCGGCAATGAGCCATTGGGTGTATAGAGATAAATAAAAGATAGGCTCCATCCCTCTGGATGATATATTTTAAAAGTGAATAAAGAGTTTAAATAAATAATCATACAATTAAATATTTACGATTGGAAAGTGCCACAAAATTAATACAATGGAATGCTATACAAGAATAGGTCGAGTTCTTCCTCTTGCTATCTTGGTTCCATCGTTTATACTATGAAGACAGTGATAACCTATCCCATAGCTGAAACTATTAAATGACATAATACGGATGAAAGGTTACAGTGTCAAGCATGTACATTATTAATCAATGTTATCGTTCATACATAAAAAGTATTTTCTCTTTTTCATCAAAAGGCTGGAGATCCTCTTTTAAAGTACATGTTGATTGATTCAATGCCTATTCATTAGTGGAGTTCCTGGATAGTGCAAAAAGGTTAACATGCTTGGCTGGTAACCGAGAAGCTAGTGGTTCCAGTCCATGCCAAGGCACCTCAGAAGAAAGGCCCGATGAACTATATCCCCCAAATTAGCCATTGAAAACCCTGTGGAACACAGTTCTAGTCTGACACTTCATGGCATCACCATGAGTTGGAGTTGACTCTATGACAACTGTTATTTATTTATTTTTTTCTTTTCATTCATTGGTAATTGTTCAATTTAATGACAATTACGGTCCATTGTAGTCTTTCAAACTAACGTTCATTTATCCATATTTCTTTCTCTAGTCCATTATCTCAAGGTTTTGTTTTCCCTCCAGCACCCTCATTTCGTGAAAGTGATAATCAATAAATTAAGCTCCTTGGAAGTTCCTTCCTTTTGCAGTTTCTGGCATAATGGACTTTATATACTAATGATTTTATTATATATTCAAGTATAATTGTTTTTATGGGAAATATTTCCTGTAATATGTGTATTGATGGTTTTTACTTATCAAGCATATTTTTCACTTTTCTTGACAACCTTTCAGTGTGATGTTTAAAGAGCAGAGGACACTTTAGATCTGCCAAGATCAATGGTTCTTATTCCTATAAACTGTGAAATATATTCAAACTCTGTTTCTTTGTTTTCACTTCATTTCAGTAGAGCTCTGGTGATACAGTGGTTAAGAGCTCAGCTGCTGACCAAAAGGTCGGCAGTTCAAATCCACCAGCCACTCCTTGGAAACCCTATGGAGCAGTTCTCCTCTGTCCTATAGGGTCGCTATGAGTCAGAATCGACTCGCTGGCAATGAGTATATTCAAACTCTATTCCTTTGTTTTCACTTCATCAGTAGTATAAGTGTTATTTATTTCATTTTATAAAAGCAATTCATGCCTTGATGATAAACTTTTAAAGCAAAAATCAGCTTTATAAGTAATTGGAGTCAACTAAGAAGGCCCTGACTATTCTATTCATTCAGTGATGCTCAGTGGGTAGGATCTGGAGATCTGAAGCTAGACTTCCTGGATCAGGTCCATGTTCTTTACTGATTTGAGGTGTCAGCATGCTGCATGAACTCTGTGAGAGCTGGTTTCCTCATGCAGAGAATAGAGATGAGAATAACACTTGCCTTGTATCATTGTCATGAAGAACATAGAAGTAAATACATGCAGAACACTCAACCCAGTGCCTGGCCTATAGTAAACACTCAGTACATATTGGCTATTATACTTTTCTGTATCTCACAAATGTTTACTAAGCACCTGTCTTTGCCTAGTTTTGTGCTAAATGAAATAATTAACTATGTTAAACTTTTTTCTATCTGCTATTCCTGCCTTTGGGCCACTGGCCTTCCCCAGCCATGATTGTTTTCTTCTTAAAAATAAAATAAAATACAACTCTGTCAGTTACGGGAAATGTCAGGCTTGTTTTGTGCAGGTAATGTATCTCACTCCTCTGCAAAATTTCAAGTCTTTTCAATTCATTCCTTCATCTTTCATATCTGCTCCCTTGTTTCTCATCACTATCAATCTTTCTTATGCGTGTATCTTTTTCTTTTCCGCTTTGTTTTTTCTGACGTTCTTTTTCAGCAGTGACGTGTAGTGGAAAGAAATTGAGCTTTTAAGACTGACAGACCAGGATTTGCCCACATTAGTTGTGTGGCCTTCACCAAGTCAGTCTCTGAGCTTTAGCCCCTCTTCTGTAAATTGGGATAATGCCTACTAATTGGTTGAGGATTAATAATAACTGTAGGTACTCACTCAGTAATGGTGTTTGTCTTACTTAGCACAGCTATAACACAAGATACCACAAGTGGGTGGCTTTAAAGAACAGAAATTTATTTGCTCACAGTTCAAGAGGCTAGAAGTTCTATTTCAAGATGTGACTCCAAGGGGAGGTTATTTGTCTATTTCAGCTTCAAATAGCTTCCAGCAATCCTTGGCATTCCTGGGCTTGAAGATCTATCTGTGTATGTGTCTGTCTTCATATGACATCTTCCCCATGTGTCCCTATTTCTATTCTCCTTCTTTTATAACTCAGAAGTGCTTGGGTTTAGGACTTACCTCACTCTGGTATGATCTCATTAATATAACAAAAGAAAACCCTGGTTTCCAAACAGCATCATATGTAAAGGTTCAGGAGTTATGATTTCAATATGTATTTTTGGGAATACAGTTCAATCTAACAGTATTTATAATTAATTTGGTAAACTTATTCTCTGCACTACCCAATTGTCACTTAATCACATCCAGTCTTGTCATTTTATTAAATTTTCAGTATTGATTTGCCAGTTTGATTTATGTTTCTTGAATATAGAGTCTGTTATGCTATGTGAATTCTTCTGTTATGAGTAGAATAACTTTTAGTAAATATGTGGCATATTTCTGGGAGTTAGTAGCCCCCTATAAATTAAAAAAAAATTCTATCTTTAAAATTGATTTTTAAAATGTCAACAAACCTTGCATTATACTCTGTAATCTAGGCCTAGATA